ACTAATGTACCCATTTCCGCAGCTAAAATATAACCAATTTTTACTTTAATGCCATCTGAAGTTCTCACCAAAACTTCTTTTATGTCCGGATTTAGAAATGTGGTCTAACAAACGGCAAAAATTATTGAAATATATTGTAATGGAATAATAAATAAAGGATTTATTTATTTTTTAGTCTTTAATACTATGTTAGACTTATACAACCTCCACCATATTTTTGTATGGATTCTGTATGGATTTTGTATGAAAAATGTCACATTTTGTTGCATGTATGTCGAGTTAAGTAAAAAAGACTAAACATCGCGTGAGATATATATATTTGAATATACAGTCAAACTTCCATAAAACGAATTTTCTATAACTCGAACTAAAAAGAGTGCAACAGGGTTTTCGAGAATAAATTACATACAATTCTACTTTCATAATTCGAACTTCTACAAATTGAATTTCTGCATAACTCGAATAATAATATTGCCAGGTGCCAATTGGAATATATTAAAGTGCATTGTATGGTATAAGTCGAATTTTTGTTTTAAGTATGAATCCATTTTGGTGTTAGGGGAAGTCCCTTTTTCTAAACCAATGAAATTGTTCATCAGTTTTCCAAGAATGAAATTCTAGTTTCTTTCAAAAACAAAATAAAAAAATTCTCTAACTCAAAGTCTTCATAAGTCGAATCTTCGAGCAAAATGGTACTTCGAGTTATGGAAGTTTGACTGTATATATCATAATTAATCGGGGAGTACTTCGAAATTAATCTACCACTGTTTATTTTCACACAATTAATAAATGAAAAAATAATTGAAAACTTATTTATTAAAAACGATTTAATTAATAAATATCTTAATCTGATATATTTACCTTTTTATTCTTAAACATTTCTTCTGTTAATGCCATATTATGTATATTAATTTGGAACTTTGAAAATGTCTTAATAAATATTCGATATTCGAAATATTTAAACATTTAAAATTATTTTTAAATTATTTTATAATTTGTGACATATTTCTATACGCATACATACACATTGTTTATTTATTTCAAAAATATTTAAAAAAAAATCGATGTTACTAGATTTACTGAGAAGTATATATAGGATAGAGACTGTATTTCATAGTACTTTACTCAATGATTTATTCGAAATGTAAAGGGATCTTTAACAACTTTATTATCAAAGCACTCTTCACAAACTTCTGGAGACAGCGACCAGTGTTGAAAACTCAATTAGATAATGTTTTACAGACAATTTTTATGGGATGGGATAAGGTCAGTCTGCTTAGAGGTATGAAGTATGAGTTAGAAATGGCATCGGATGTATTTATGTGAGAGTTTGTTGTTATAGGTAGCTCTATGTTTTTGTATGTATCTAGTAGAGTTTTTATTATAAGTGGGTCATCTCCTGAAATATTCTTCTATGAGCATAATTTATAAATGACGCTTTCTTGATTAGATAATAATGTTTTAGACCTTTATTTACAGTAGTTGTTGACTTAACCAATAACTGGTAGGTTGCTCCTGAAATTATTAACATATTTAGAATATGTAAGCAAACAGATATTGCCATTAATCTCATATTATTGGAAAGATATATAAGTAGTATAAGAAGTATAAGAAATGTAATATATATAATAATATAAATATAAGTCGTAATAAGTTGTATTATTCACTATATTGTAAAATGTTCAATTATATGAATAAAAAAATTATTTGTATTTGCATTTAATTTATCTTTATTCTCTTTTACAGCAAGGATCCCTATAAACGCCGCATAACCATGGTATCCAGTACTGAATTACGTGAAGTTCAATCCACATTTTTTTATTCAATGGAAAATATTTGTCCTCCAATTGTAGCTGAAAACTTTAAAACTGAAGGTATATTTATTTCTAGAAAAAAATAAAATTGTGATTAACTTTTGTTTGGTTTTTTATTTTTAGAGAAAGAATTTGTCAAAGAGAATACTTACTATCATTGGATTTATAATAAAATTAAAAGTCGAAAATAGTAAGGATTTTGGATGTCTGCCATGTCTGATGTTATACTTTATGTTCTAATTTTGTTTTATAAATAGTATAGATTTTAAAATTGGTGTTTTAATGTTATTAGTTATAAATAAATTTTTATTATTTTTTTAATCACTAACAGCGAATATATGTTTTAACGTTCTTTTTATAATCTTGTGTTTATTATTATTCATTAAGACTATTTATTATTCAGACTAAGAATTAATTGACTTCAGATCTGCATACCTCCCCGAGGTACTTGTAACCATTCTGAGATTCGATAACACGGTGTTGGTCAGTTTTCGTAAATAACTTCAGGCCTCTATCCTTTATGTATTTTTTGATCGGATCAATCTTGAGGTCCCTGAGGATGTCATTCTTTCTAATGTACCATAAAATGTAATGTGCCATAAAATAAAAATTTCACTTAATTTAAATGTGCTTTGTAGTTGATAATTTAACAGACATATGCTTTTAATTGCATACTTCCTTTTACTGCCGATGTAAGGCCTAAATGGTTTTATTCTCATATACTCAGAGATAATGTAACAATTTTGAAGAAATTGTTTTTAAAGCCGATATGTGTGGTTAATAAAGAGAATTAAACTTTTAAGATCTAAAAGACATTTTATTAATAGAAAATTATACCGTGAATAATGTAGAAAATTAAACATCTGGTGTGTCTCTCAGTTTTGTTATTTTGTAGGCTTCGATAGTGGAATGTTTGTATCTGAGTTTTTTTTTTTTTAATTGAGGACGTAGTAGATGCTTAAAAAATAACAAATTAACAGCAACTGACAAACACAAATAATTTAACAAGTGTTTAAATAAAATATCAAATATAACAGTTCGCACAAGTTATCACCAGCAATAATAAACACTTTTATTGTGCTGTTAAGTGGCACTTTTGTGAAATAATTCCCCTAATTTTCAATAACGTTCAATTTATTTTATTTCGGAATAGATAGTGAAGTACAAAAGTAGTCTTTTCTTCGAGACCATGTTTCATTGCAACAAAATTCAACATTTTTCTGTTTAAATCTCTAGATATAAAAGAAGTCTTCTTCGTGCAACCAGTGTTGCCCTCGGGTAGGATATAGCTACGTGCTTAGCAATTACATGTCATGTATAAACACATTAATTTCCATTATGTGCTCTAATTGCAGCTTTACTGCTTATAAAAACACGCAATTGTTTTTTATTTAAATGGATATAACGAGTCCTACTGGTATATGGCTCATATATGAAGTGCTCAATTATCTCCACCTTGATCTAGATTAGTATCTAGTTTCAATAAGCTCCTGACCACACCCTTATACCTGGCCATTTCATATAACATTTCTTCCGCTTTGCTTTTAAGCATACCCATCCTAACTCATCAATTCCATTCGTAATTCCAATCATGTTTAGTCCTCCATATCACGTACTGCGGAGTATGCTACATGTAGCCACGGAACATAAGTAATTCCCTTTATTTTTCATATAGTTAGCTAGTTTTGAGAGTTTATTATCAATATATTTATAGGCTAAGATTGGTATAAGAGAATAATTCATATATGCAGACAGGTGTAATGCGTATTTGCTATTTTTGGACTGAGTCCACAATTTATATTTGTTATTATAGATATATAGTCCCTTGTTATTCTTGATTTTTTTTTCCAATTGATTTTCATTGAATTAAGCGTTATATTGTAATATGGATATTTTCAATATCTGGCTTAGTTATTCTAGTAAATGATAACAAATTTAACTACGTAATAATTAAAAATAGAAAAGATGGCTCGGAAATACTATCTAATTATATAGAGTATATTTTTATATGAACATAATAAGATGTAATTAACCCATTAGCCCTTCAGTACACAAAGCATATGAGTTAATTTTCATTCAATAAAACAATGAGTTCTACATATATGTATAAAGAAAAAATATCTTGCTGTTATAAAGCACTTTTTTAAATAAACTACATTATTATTGATAATGAAAACCAAAGACATTTTTTCAAAAATCTTTTACTAATTTATATATTTAATGAGTTATTTTTTTTTTTTGTAATTTTATTACACAATAAAATTATATATAAAATAAGTGTATATTATGTATGGTACTTAATTCAATTACAATAATCTATAGTCCTTAAACGATATAATTAAATTAATTTATTAAAGCAATCAAAAGACAAAGCAATTTGTTTAAGAAACGTAAAAATAAAATAAATATTTACGTTTTTTATATATTGTATTTAATTATTATTTGCAATAATGTGCAGTTTTTGAGTGATTTAACACTCTATACTTCTATACTGAATGGCTACCCACCATTCAAATTATATATTTTGCGTCTCTCATATATTTTATAGTTTTCGTAAGTGGATTTCTTCAATTTCTTTTGTTTTGATAATAGATTTCTAAACAAAGGAAATAAAATTATTTTAATTTTATTTTATATTTAAGTTGATATATTTTTTACCCATTAAAAAGAACTGGTGTATATTTTTCCAGATTTCAACCACCAAACGCTTAAGTTGCATTTTCCAAGCTGAGCGCACAGAACTTTACTTTAAAAAAGATAACCTGATAAATCGAATAGAAAAGGAAATAACTTGAAAGATTCACTGCTGGCTCAATATGGTACAATCCAATTAGTGAGCAGGTTAAGCTCTTTTTGGCCACAATTCAAGTGAACGATTGATTTTTAAGTCTCAGAACAAGTTAAGTTGTGCTGAGGTTCGGACGTACTTGGCACAAAAGCGGATAAATTTCAAAAAATTTTTTAAATATTTAACTGAGAAGTGTCCTTTAACTACAAACCCTGAATCCTTATTAGTGCAAAAGGATATTTGTGTGTGATCCTAAGCGAGGATATTTGTATTTGATATTATATCGAAGAGTGGATATATCAGTGCAAGAAATAAAAATCTATTGATACAAAAAAGGATAAAAATTACAGTTTTTTTTCTTCCTGAATAATTTCTTTGCAGTTTTTTTAATTTAAATGCTAATTCTTGTGTAAAAAAAACTAATTAGCTTAAAAAATGGTGTGTATATAACAAAAAAAAATATTGTCAACTAATTCAATTATGCAATTTTGAAAATATTTTATTGATGTCTTTTTTTACATATATTTAAAGAAATTATTATACAAAAAAATTTTATAAATTTATTTATTTATTATAAAAAGAACATTTAAAGTGAAAATCAAATAAAAATTAACAATATATGTATGTGTAAAGGCATAAAAATCTGTATGTATGTATATATAAATAAATATACAATACACTATATACATATTGCACATATTATATATAACGGATATTATATAAAAATCAGTATGTATGTATATATAAATCAATATACAATACACTATATACATATTGCATATATTATATATAACGGATATTATATAAAAATCTGTACGTATGTATATACATTCAATCAATATACCATACATATATACATATGACATATTATATATAACGGATATATAAAAATCATTGTATGTATATATAAATCAATATACAATACACTATATACATATTGCATATATTATATATAACGGATATTATATAAAAATCTGTACGTATGTATATACATTCAATCAATATACCATACATACATACCACATATATTTTATATATAAAAGATATATAAAAATCTTTGTGTATATATAAATCAATATACAATATACCATACATACATGTCACATATATTATATATAAGGGATATTATATAAAAATCTGTATGTGTGTATATATAAATCAATATATAATATACCCCACATATATACCACATATATTTTATATATAATGGATATTGCATATAATACAATAATTATCGTCAAAACCATTTTAATTAAATGTTTATATATTATAAAATAAATTTAATTTAATGACTTGTGTAAACTATATCTTTTTTTGCAATCGTGCAATCCAACACTTTTTTTAAATAATTAAGTCAAAGGACTTCTTACTAAGGCTTACGTTCACCGCAAGTTCACAGCTGAATGTGTAAATAAGTGGAAGCCTTAAAAGTGCATCAAGGGCTTAACGTAAAGTACAAAGGATATTAAAATATTAAACACATTCGTAGAAACTTTAAACCGCAATGAAAGGGTGCGGCAAACAGGATATAAGTCTCACTCAAGTCTCACATAGCGATTATTTGTGTAATTCCGTTGAATATAATTAAAAATTTTTCTTCGATAAAAAACTTAAACCTTATGAGGTGTCGAATTTGTAAGATATTAAAAAATATAAAAAATATTATTTAATTGTTAAAAAATTAATTAATATTTAAATAATATTTAAAACTATTGATGAGATGATATTTTAGTCCAAAAATCAAAAGACATATTGAAGAGTCCTATTTTTAATAATGTACTCGATACAAGGCGTCTAAGGAAAGAAAAGTCTATACTAAGAAAACTTGAGTCAGAAAATTCTCTGAAGCTAGTTACCTATTGTTTTTGGTCAAAAAAGTATAAATTTGCTAAACCATTTAAGTGTTAATATTTAAATTTTGGTGCCTTTATTAAGAAAATCAGTAATTAAATCAGTAATTAGATCAGTAATTAGATCAGTAATTAGATCACTTGCTAAGCTATTTGGATTGACCATTTTTAGATATTGTCATAGGTTTTTGACTGAAGTTTTCTTTCAAGTCGACAATGCTTTAATGCATTATACGATATATACGTTTAAAATCGCAAATTAAATAGTAACTAAATATATTAAACAAAAAAATGAAATAAAAATAAATAAATTTATGGCACAAATTTTATATTTATTTATACAAATATTAATTAAAAACAAAAAAAAAACAAATATAAAAAATCAATGCAAAATATAAAATAAGAAACTAACACAAAATAAAATTAAATAATATGAAATAAATATAAATTTAATAAAATATTAACAATATTAAAATATTGAATATTAAAAACATAAAGTAAGAATTTAATATAATAGTATAAAATATGAAATTAACATAAAATAAAAATAAATATAAATCTAAATATATATTAAAAATAGAATAAGGAGAAATTAATTTATAGCATAGAATTTATACATATATATATAAAAAAAAAGAAGTTGATATGACAAAAAATTAAAATAATATAAAAAGTACACATTAAAAAAATAATGAATCTAATAAAATAAAAAAAAAAAAAAATAAAATAATAATTAAAATAATAATAAAATAAAATAATAAAAATATAATTAATCTAATAAAATATAAAAAATATACTAAAACAAAATTGAATATATAGCACAAATTCTATCTGTATATATAGAAAATATAGCAAATATAAATTAAAAACATGATCTTAAAAAACTAAATAATATAATTAATACAGTATTAAAAAATAAAAAAAAAACAAAATAAAATAACAATAAATAATATATTTACTTATTATAAATCTAATAATATATTAAAATAGAAAAAAAGTAAATAAATGTGTACCATAAATTAGTTATATATATAAAAAATATGTAAATTAATAATTCTATATATTATATATATATATATATAAAAGATATCAGCATACGTAAAATACATACTTATATATAAAAAATATAAATTAAAAACATTAAAAAATAATAAAAAAAATTAAAATAAAGATAAATATATAAAAAGCAATGACATTTATATATAAAATAAAAATTAAAAACACAAAATTAAAAAAAATTACTTATAAAAATTAATTTTAAAAAATGATAAAAAAACGTTAAATAATTTCTATATTTTTATAAGAATGGGGCATAATTACCTAAATATATAAAACATAAGGTTTTTAAAAGATCTATAATTAAAATTTTAATTGAACAGTATTGCAAAAAAAATCTTGTATTATAATAATTTAATAATATTTAACTTTATATTTTTTGATAATAAAAATAATATAAAATGCAATAATATTTTATAATACATATATAAATTTTCCATGAACCTTAATTAAAAAAACATTTTTGACACTAATTAAACACTAAAAATATTGTAACATTTTTTTAATTAAATAGATTTTATTATTTATAATAAAATATATAAATTTTACAAAACATATTTTTTAGCAGTAAGTTAGTTCTTAATTTTTATGTCCATTTTTTTTTCGATACTTCTTTAAAAGCTGAGTATCTCACTCGGATATGACTATATCCTGAGAGTTGAAATTATTAATAAATTATACGTTGGGTCTCAATCTGAAAGTTTCTATTGAACTATTTTGCGGTTATAACACAATTAAGAGAAATATTAAGTAGAACTAATTTCATTAATTGCTTGCCTTGGAAGTAAGTAGAATTATATAGATTTTCTGTCTTGATATTTTATTATTGAAGCTTAGTCAGCAGAAGTATTTCTTTATAATACCTTATCTAGGTTTATATAAGTTAAGAGCACACTTTGAAAAATTATAGCATTTTAAAGATTTTGCATTAGTTAATCTACACAAGTATATGTTAATAAGTAACATGAAGTGCCTTGACATTGAATAGCAATGTGACCTTAAAGATACTTTAAGAGTATATTGGAACTATCTCATCTCGCTCTTATTAATTAGAGTCTTTTCTATGAATATATTAATCTTGAAATACTTAAATGTAGAGAAGTATATATAAGACATTGTTAAATTCTCAAAGTGAAATTTTTTTAGATAAGCTAAAAATTTATATTTTCGAAATCTATAACAATATTTTAAAATATATATACACATATTTAGTATAATTTTTTTGTATAAATATAGAAGAACAACTGAAACTAATATATACATTTATATTATTATAGGGTTTGGAAATGTTTTTTAAGTTCGGCTATGCCTATTTGATAGTGACGCTAGCGATAATGATATGGCTATCTTTGGCACGTGCATCCATATATAATCGTGAAATGGAGGAAATGCGTTATCCACCTTGCACCTTCAATGCTTTATGTACATGTTCAAAGTCTTCAACTGATTTAGGTATTGTGCATTGCAAAAATGTTCCTTTCCCAGCATTACCGAGAATGGTTAACCAATCGAAGGTAATATTTAAACTCACTAAACAATAAGTCGAAATGATTCTCTATTAACTGATTTTAGGTCTTTATGTTACACATGGAAAATACAGGCTTGAGAGAAATTGAACCGTATTTCCTACAGTCAACAGGTATTCTATATATATAATATAAATTAATTCATAATAAATATAGTAATTTTGTATTACCGAAATGTAATTTATAGGAATGTATCGTTTAAAAATATTTGGCAATCATTTGACTGAAATACCTGATGATGCATTTACGGGACTGGAACGTTCATTGTGGGAGCTTATATTACCAGAAAATGATTTAGTGGAAATACCATCTAAAGCATTTCGACATTTGCAAAAGTTACGCCACTTGGATTTAGGTTATAATCATATAACACATGTGCAACACGATTCCTTCCGAGGTTTAGAAGACTCACTGCAGACATTAATATTACGTGATAATTGTATATCAACATTACAATCGCATAGTTTCTCTGGACTGTTGATTTTGGAGATATTAGATTTGAGTGGCAACAATCTATTTGAAATTGATCCTAATGTCTTTGTGGATGGTATGCCAAGATTGACAAAACTCTTATTAACTGATAATATATTATCGGAGATACCGTACGATGCATTGGGACCTTTGAAAAGTTTGCGTACTTTAGATATATCACACAATGTTATATGGTCCCTAAGTGGTAATGAAACCTATGATATTAAATCCTCCACAAAGTTAAATTTGGACAATTTACATTTGGAATATAATCATATTGATATGTTGCCACCAAATTCGTTCAAAAACTTTGATGTGGTGAATAGAACGTTCTTCGATGGAAATCCAATACATACGTTAAGGGTAAGAATATAATTCAAACACTACAATATATAACATTATAAGTTCAGAGAACTAAATGCTGAAGAGTAAGCTCATCAAATAGATTATGTATATTATAAAACAATAAATCTTATAGGTATGAACTGCGACCAACATTTTTAACTGTAACATGTTTTTTTTAATATTGTATATAGGAAGATGCTTTTAAAGCGGCCAAAATACGTGAGATTTACATGCGTTACTGTGGTCTAACAAATATATCACCGGTGGCTTTTGACAGTTTGGTTAATAGCTTGCAAATCCTGGACCTATCTGGCAATAATTTGACACACATCGATCACAAGCTCTTCAATAAATTTGATGTCTTAAGGTGAGTGCCTAATTTAAGTGACATTTTCTTTAAATTTAGCCGGTCTTTGGAGCTAAATAAGTTTTAATTACAAATTGGGGAAATTGGGGAAATTGGGGTTAGCAAGATTTAAGAAAACACAAAAAAACAAGGCGCCGTTCCAAATTTAGTGTACACAGTTTTAATCCGATTGTGCCACCACAGCGAACACTGTCAGAGACAACTGCGAAACTGTTGAAAGTGTGAATAAACTAGTATGTAAGCTTGATATGGGTGCACCGATATGGTTTCCGTATGTGGGGTAAGTGTACGTTCTCATTCGGTGGTATCGTTAACCAAAAAATATACGATTTAAATTAAGGGAAATTATTGACATGGTTAATTAATGTAGTTCTTAAAGCGAATAATCGATTTCTGTAATCGTACCTTGTTTTTATTCCGTTCATTTATTAGAGTAATAAGCATGCGTGATAATAAAATCAAAATCAAACAGCCCATGGAGCAATTTAATGCGATGCAATACACGCTACTTAAATTGGATTTAAGTGGCGATATGAATGACCCAACCAATCTGCAAACGCTGCGCAAGTAAGTTGAACAATTGTTGCTTCGTGCATCACAAACGATTTTTATTTATTTGCAAAAAGTATGACCAGAATGAGGAACATGCGCTCTTTGTCCATATCACGTATGGGGCCAACATCTATTGGACCAGAAGATTTTAAGGATTTCGGTGTAGAATTGGAAGATTTGCAAATAACACGGGCTAGCCTTTCGAATATACAATCGCATGCCTTTAAACATGTGCGAGGTTTGAAGCGTTTGGATTTTAGCGAGAATGGTATACAATCGATTGAAAATGATGCATTCGTAGAGGTGACTACTTTTTTTGAAATAAAATTTCAACAATTGTATTTTTTTTTTGTTTAATTAAATATTCTCTTAACTTTATCTAGATTGGTCATTCTTTGATATCACTGAAAATATCACATGGTTTTTCTGGTACTGCCTTGCCAGCTGAGCCCATGCGTCATCTAACTTCTTTACAAGAACTGGATTTCAGTAACAATAAAATACAAAGTATGAGCGATACAAGCTTTCATTTTCTAAAAAATTTACGTTTACTGGAATTGCATGATAATCGCATTGAACAAGTGTTAAAAGGTACATTCCAGGTAAGATTGGGAAGATGAATAATATGATTTATTATAGTTATTATAGTGAAAGCTGTGTTAAACGGATATCTCTCTTAAACGGGAAAGTTTTTCAGTCCCCAGTTTTAATTTTTAGCTTTCTTACTTATTCTTAAAGAAATAATGCTCTTAAGTCCGTCTAAGTCTTCACTTAAGAGATCTTTCACTGTACTTTATATAAATTCTATAATCTATTCTTAATTTTTTGCTTTTATATTCTTGAATTTTTTTTTCCTGATTTTTTAAGGGGGATATACATTCTAAATTGGAGGAAATATCGTTTCGCTTTAATCACATGACGCAAGTATCTCAACACACATTCTTTGACTTGGAGGTAAAATTAAGAGATATTTCTTATGATCCATATAATAACTATAATGGTACTTTTATTTTTAAAAAGGCTTTGCGTAAATTGCATTTGGATGATAATAAGATTGATAGAGTAGAGCGAAGAGCTTTCATGAATTTAGATGAATTAGAACATTTGAGTTTACGAGGAAATAAACTCAACAATCTGGCTGAGGAATCTTTTCAGGTATGTATACATCATATATTATTTGCAACCCTTCTTTATGAGTATATATACTATAATAACAGAATGTATAGATATTTATTTACTGACAAGGCACAGTACTGATCTAATAGTATATCCTAAATAAATAAGGATATACCTACACATATGTATAATCATATATAATAAGAATTTCTAGCGTTTGAACATAATCCATACAGTGACCGTCCTAGAGAGGTAGTTAAGATTTTTATTTAATGATTTTATTTTCAAAACGGTTATCTGTTCAAGCTCTAATTATCTTTGCCCAAAGCTTTAAGTTTTTCATTAGATGACATAGTGTTTACAAAGTGTGTTTTTGAAGACGTTTAGTGGTTAGTGAAGTTTTCACTAAACTCTCTTAAATAAGTCTCTCTATACGCCACTGTTTTCATTGCATTATGATAATATGACAAATTAGTGTATTCTCAGATTAATTAAACCAGTTCGTTTAGAATCATTAATCTTCTAAGTAACATTGCAGTACTTATTTAAGAGTTTACTACCAATGTATACTGCAAAGCATATGAAGAAGAGATATTTTCTGTTAGCTTCGTCTTCTAATACTGCTTCTGTCTGTAAGAGTATGAAGATGTTTCTTTTTAGATTGAACAAGTGCAAATAAAAAATAGACGAATATTAATAGTAACCTTAGAAAGACGAAGTTTGAAATACACATTGAAAAGATACTGTAAAGTAATTACGAAGAATTTGAACGAATACTATATAGATTAGAGAAGTACGAAAACAACACTAAGATCATGTTCTGATCATAAGTTGTTTATTTCTTTCTCTTTTCATATTCTTTGTAATCTTTTCCATCATCATCTTTTTTGTTTGTTTAAACTTCGGCCTAATTTGCTGGAATTCAATTAGTTACTATTAAAGGTACCAAAAAATACTACAAAAAATATATATATATATATTTAATCCTTTAACTCCTAGGAGGTGCATAGGGCCGCAACAAATAATTCCCATTCGGTACGATTGGTGGTCAATAGTTTTAACTCTCCCCAGCCTTTCCGCATGTGTGACATTTTCGTGTCGGTTTGTCTACTCCAGGTGTGAGCAGGTCTGCCCTTCTTTTGCTACCCATTGGGTTCCACTCAGTCGCCATTTTTGTGGTGTCACCAGTCGGTCTACGCAAAGTGTGACCGAGCCATTCCCATTTACGCTTTTTAATTTCGTTTCTCATAGGTGTTTGCTAAGTTAGAGACCATAGATGATCGTTTGAAATTGTATTTAGCCAAAATACTTTAAATACGAAAAATAATCTTAAAAAATTTCTAAAACACTACAGCATAGGTTAGCTATGTCAACCAATATATTCTTATTAATCAGTAGTTACTTAAATGCAGTTCATTTGACTTTTCTTTGATCTTACTATAACTAATTTAGATTCTAATAATTAAACTTAATTCTTTGAACTTTTCTATTTGTATTGATGAGGAACATAAGAGAGGAGGCTTAACATTTATAAGAATTTATTTGTACATTCATAATATACAGGCCCATAATAATTTTAATTAAAAATAATTATAGAAAATGTTTTAGTTTATACAGATCTTAATATATATAGTAATATAAAAATGAAAACTTTAAAAAAGATATAAAAATAACTTAAAGAACATAACTTTTTACTCAATTCAATATTTGCTTATAAATACAAAATTTAATATGTATGTGGAAATAATCTTATATATAATAGTGCACATGTATGTGTATATTCTAACAAATTTTCTATTATAATTGTCGAATGAAATCTTTACTATTTGAATATAAAAAAATTAATTCAATTATTTTATACACTAAATATCACATAAAAAACATTTATACTTATTACTAACTTTTTATACATCTAGTTTTTTTTAATGTCTTTTTGATCCAAAACTGGAGGTGAAATGACAATATTTGTGAAGGAGGAATTTTGTAGTTGTTATTGTTGCTTATATTGTTGTTTATATTGTTGTAGGGAAAACTTTTGACCATTATCGTGATATGTTTCGCCTGGTTTTGGGAATCTACTCTTATCTCGTGGTTCCACATATTTTGTACGTATACCACACTTTTTTGTGGTTATTGGTCTTTGGATTTGCGAATTTGTTGCACATACGCCCATGTTATTGTTGATGGGATAGTTTGCATGGGTATTCGGTATTGCACTACACGGCAAATTGCCAGCATAATTATTAATATTATGGGTATTTGGATTATAGATTAGTGAATTGGTGGGATGATTGTTTTGAATAATTCTTGGCATATCATTGGTTGTGGCGAAATTCATGTTACTATTCACCATCTGTTGGTAAGGAATACCATGATTAGTAGCGGTGGGCAACATATTTGGGCAACCATAATTTAAATGATTATTTCCTAGTGAATTGCTTGGAATAGTGTGAGCAATGTTCGTATAATCATTGACATGGCCGTAGTTTGCAGCATTATGCACTAATGAACCGTACAGAATATTGTTGTAAGTTGTGTTGGATTCAGGAATTCTTGCAGAAAACTCATTATTATTCATCAACAAATTGTACAGTTGATTGTTGTTAGTTATAGTAGGGAGATCATTAGGAGAAATGAAATTTATATTATGAATCGATGAATGGGTATTTAAGGTTGGACTTATATTAGTGTGTGGAAAACGATTATTATTGAGACTTTCAGTTCGAATTTCAGTGCGAGTCTCAGAGGGTTTGTGAGATATTCTGAATTGGTTTTGAGTAAAGTTATCAGTGGGGATTTTCGGTGTTGGGTTGGTTGGCGGTGGCTTGGGATTTATAAAATTTACACGTGTTATTTCATTGCATGCTTGCTCTTTTATGGGAGATGTTTGCTCTTTCACGGGAGAAGTGCTGGCAGCTATTGGACTACAACTGATCGGTTTTGTGGTTGTAATTTTTTCTTTATCTTCATTTACATTTTTAGGTATATTAACAATTACTGAAACTTTTTCCTCTATTTTGTTACTTATATCCTTAATATTAGTTTCCTTAATATTAGTTTCAGACTCTGTCTTAATAACAGTTTTACATTCTTTTATACTATCACTTTCATTAACGTCTGAATTTACTGTATCTATAGGTAAACTAATTTTTGTATTTTCACTATTTATATTGACGGGAGGATTTTCCATTTCGTTGGAGGTATTCTTGTTTTCTTCATTGATTGTAATATTCTTCACTTCACTTAAATTTGTATCAATATTTGAACTTTTCAGTTTTTTGTTGGGTTGATCATCTTTATCGGGTATATCAGTAACACTTTCAGTTTGGCGTTTTTCACTTACTTCAACGTTGTTTTCTAGATCTTTTCGTCGTTTATGTACCTTCATGTGGGAATTTCGCCCTTTCAGAGACTTAAATGGATGTAAGCAAATCTCACATAAAACTCGACCGTCACTATTTTCTAAAAATTCTGGTTTTACTGCTTCAGCTCTCGCAATTAATATTTTTATAGGTAATTCACTGCCTTCACTGCAATTTGATACACTTATAAAATTTTTTGTGTCTGCCTTTTTCGATCTCTAAAAAATAAGAAAAATATACGAATTAAAAACTGAAATAAATGAATTATTACAATTACATTTACGATAATTAATAATTACAATTATTAATTAATACAATTATGTACTTAAATCAATTTATGTATAAATACATCAGTTTATGTTTAATTTGTAAAGGAAATATTTAATTAATTAATATGATGTGCAAAAAAACAGTTTGTATAATAAAAATAGAAAACTTAGTTCTAGTTTTAGAAGTTATATATTAATAAGTTTCTAACATTTTAAAGATACTCAAGAAAATAGTACTTGATCTTTCAAACTATAAATTTCTATACGGAAGTTCTTATCTAAGTAAAAATTGACGCCAATAACAACCTTTAACATTTTAATAAAATGATGTATGTTATCTTTTGTGCCTTTATGTGGAGATTATATAGTATTAATATCAACTCGGTGTTTATATAGCGGAAAGGAAATTATTAAATGTTGACTCTAAGTAAGAATGTTATAGCCTATATTGGGCCCCTTTATGTAATGATTGTGTACCTTAAATATCACACATATCGTTTTAGTGATTAAAGAGCCTATTTGATATGAATAAGAAATAACTAAATTTATATATATATACGAGCATATATCTATATAGCATTTAGACTATGTTAATAATAATATCTCGTATTCTAGTTCACGTTGTCCTATATGCTTATAAATATTTTTGCTTTATATCATCTTAATTAACTGTAAAAATAGATTTGCTATATAATAGCTCGGATTCCCATGTCTTTATTTCCCTCTTCAACGGTTAAAGTGTTAAGTTGTAGTTGTAGCTACTAAGGATCTGCTTGTGTGGTCTCTTTTTAAAGTGCCGAATGGCACATGATCGTCGAACTCGATGAGTGGCTCTAAGACAATATGTATGCACGCACACTCAAGATGATGTTTGATTGTGAAAATACCAATAAAGTCTGTAATTTTTTATGGAACAATTTGCATTATTCTTCTTTAATCAACCGTTATTAATTTATTCTCTATAATTTCTAATGTGTAGATTTATTTGCTTATCTTTTTAAATAAGCCCTGATTTATTAACGGCTCTCGAGTTTTTGTGTATATTTAATTGAAATAAATTTGTTTTTGATTATACAATTATATCAAAAGAATATGTGGAGACGGGAACTACATTTGTGTAGCATAATTTAACATGCATATGAGTTTCATTGTTATTTTTTGTATTCATTTTTTATGATATTAATTGTATCAGTCATTCTTTCATGCCAAGTCGAGTCATGTACTTATCAGCTTAGTCATATTTGCTTCTAAATAATGATATATGTGTCATAATATGTCAAGAACCGTTTTGCTTTCTTTAGATGCACCATTCACGTCTTCATTCTTATGAATTTTTTATATTATTGTTAGTTAGTGCATAATATTTATTGCTATTAGTATATGCATTCATATTATTTCAGTTATAAATAATCAATTTCAAGTAATAATTTTATAAGCTAAAATAGATAAAACAAATAATGTAAGTCACAATGGGTTACTAATGGGTTAAAAGTGTGAAGAACGGTTGGATCGCAAGCGATGACCATGTGCCCTTTAACACCTCCCAAAGAAACTACCTCGCAGGTCTCAGCGGGTTTCAACAAAAATAACAGTCTTAAAAAGTTAACTATAAATATAACGCTAACTTTTTAAAAAAGTTACTAAAAATATATCTTCGAAATAAATATATAAAAGCAATTTCACACAGTATGTGAGTTAAATCATAAATAAATATTAACTGACCTTAGATTTAGTTTGAGTCTTCAGTGAATTATAATCGCAACCGCTTCGTAATTTTTTCATTATTTCCCGTTGTTGTTGCAAAGAATGATAACTAATTCCGTGCTCTTCCAGCAAATGTTGTTTTAATATGATCGGTTTATCAATAAATTCTTTTCCACATATTGCACAATAAAACTCACATTCATTTGCCCCCCAGTGATTCAATATAGCCCTCTTATCTGAATAAATCTGCCAGCAGCTCACGCAACGTATATTTCTGTGTCCATTTGCAAGTCTTCCACGTCTTAAAGGCTTCGATAAATTTTTTTTCATAAATATTTTTGGTAATTTTAAGCGCATGTGCTTTAGTTGATGAATTACTAAAGCGGCATTTGTTTGGAACGAGTCTGAACAATATTGACAAGGAAAGGTGTGCAAAATGTCTGTATTCATCACGCCTACATTATTTGTTTGTGATTCGTCTATAGGATTGTTTTCGTTTATATTATTTTCGAGATTTTCTGTAAGATTCACTGCTTCAGTATTTTTTGCGTTTAATGCAGCCAATTGAATTTTAACATCCTCCTTACTGTCGCTGTCGTCTAGAACTGCTTTTACGTTTTGCAATGCAATCACTTCGCTGGGTAGCGTTACATTTTCTGCTATGTTATCATCACTATTAGTTGTTGGAACGCTGTTGCTTTTTAAGCAATATTTATCATCTATGTCGCTTGCTATATCAGTCGTGGAACAAGTAGTAGTATTTTGTACATCATTGTTCTCATCACATTTTTGTGTAGGAGACATTGCGTTATTTAGCAGCAGAAAGCGATTAAGCAGGTTAGTGCTGACATTTTCATCAAAATTAAATTTAATGGATTTTTGATATTCGCTGCTAGCATCCTATTAAGTTAATGTATTCGATAATTTATTGTTTTACATTAGTTACGGTTATTGTTTTACCTCAATAAAATTAACAATTTTAATAAAATTGTGCTCCGGTTGCTGCTTGCGTACATTGTTAGCCCACAGTTTCTGTTGTCTGACAATGCGCGTTACTTCGTTGTATTGCATATTGACAGTGGATACACATTTGTTGCAAATATTCTGTGGCAGGGGATCATTTTGATATAACTAAAAGAAATAACATTTTAAAATACTTGCATTGAATTAAGAATTATAATCATATTACCAGAATTGGATAAACTGTGTGTATTTTCGCTACCAGATCTTCATCAAATCCTGTGAAAATATTTTTGTTGTTCACATCGACAAAACCACACAATCTACATTTTCTATTTTCACTAACTTCGTTTACACTCATTTTTAAAATAATTATTAAGTTATTTGTAAATTCGATATAAGTTACATTTACAATTTGTTTATACAATCGCTGATAGGACAGAATTTTCTCTCCTTTCCTCAATATAAATAAATTAAATGTCATATTTTCTCTACATATTTAAAACGCCCCCTGCTGGCAATAAACTAAAACCAGATTGACATGCAAGTACCGCAGATACGAAACTAAAGAAAAATTTAATAAATATTTTTTTATATTCAATACTTCGACATTTTTATGTGTTTATGTGTATTCTTGCATATTTTCCGAGATATTTACAAGAGTCTGAACATAGAATTACAACAACAGCTGTCAAATTAGTTTGCGCCTTATGACGTCACAAAAGTATTTCTGTTGATTTACTAAGGATGGTTCAACATATGTAACATATGTAAAACAGATGATGGATTTTTGGTAAATTTTGGTTAAAGTAAAAACAATAAGCGCAATATGATGCACAAGATGCAGTTACATACCCGCACATAATGCACAGGAATGTATTCAATCTTGAAAAATTTAATACAAATAGAAATATTTTAATACTGAATTCACATGAGAATTTTGTAGGTAATTTTATTTGTCAATTGTTTTTGCTTTCAATGCAATATGAAAATTTTTGACAGCTGAAATTACAAACAGAATTCTTGTGTGAATTCAGTATAAACAATTTTTATACTATACTTGACCAAAATGACAGCTAAAATGATAAATAAAATTTTTGTGTGGATCCAGTATTAATCAATTTTTTCTTCTATATGTTTTTTTTTTTGATTTCTGCTTCATTATCCAACAATTTATTTTTTATTATTATTTATTTTAAAATTAATATTTAATTTCCAAAATTTTTTAAAACAGTTTTTCAAACAATTCTTATTTTTAATTCAAAAAATTGAATATTTATTGGATAATCCATAACTTAGGTAACTATTTGAATTGCTATTCGTATTCGAATAATTGAAACTTTTCAAACAATACGAATATGAGCCATAAAAAAATTATAAAAATTATAAGAACTATATATTATAAAATTTTTGAAAAATATTTTATAATTTATTGCAAATAGTCAACAATAGTCCAATATATTACCTTTATAGTGGGTTCGCAGACTGGGCCCGTCCAGACCAGATGCGATCGCGGGTCAATATAAATCAATGTGCAGATTGAAGGGCTACAGAAACAAATACATACGTTCATAGTTGTTTTCGACAAAAATAAAAATAAAGTTATGATGTTAAATTTAGTTTTATTAATTTATTAATTTAAATTTATTTATTTGGCATACCATAAAAATAATATAACATAGTTTTACCAGTACACCAAGAGAAAATTTGTGTAATTATAGTAGATTAAAAACATGTCGCGGGTCACACAAACATTATCCGTGGGCCGTATTTTAGACAGCTCTGGTCTACAACATTGAATCATACCTTTTTGCCTTGAAGAGTACGAAAAAAAATTACTTAATATCTACTTTGAGAGAAGAAATACGCTAAAGAACAGGGTTTGAATTCTCTTCAAAAAAATCTCCAAGAGCTTTTTAAATTATTTTAAACTCTTTTAGTTTTATATGGTATCACACTTAGGCCCTTTAATCTAATTGCATACTATACTGTTTACTATTATATTTATAATTAATTATTTATATATCTTATTATATATTTTTACAGAATTTGCCTAAATTGGAGATTCTGGACTTGGCATTCAATAAGCTTCCAAATTTTAATTTTGACTATTTTGATCAGGTAAAATTTTATTAAAAATTAGCTGCATAAGTCCAAATTTCAATAAAAATAATACCAATTATCAAATGCCTGTTTATATACTTCTTATGTATTAATTAATATGATTATCCATTTTAAGGTCGGCACACTTTCAAATCTCAACGTAAATGTCAGTCATAATGAAATTAAAATGCTTATGTATAATTCTTCATGGTCTGGAAGAAATGATCATGGTAAGTTTTTCAGTTTTATTATACAGTTATTATACAGTTGTTCTAAGTAGACCTATTAAAAGGATTGTGAATTAAGCATAAATCAGAAGGTTGATTCGTATATCGTTTCAAAGATAGAACTCTTTCAAATAATTATTTCAATAAAATTTAAGATAAAATTTTATTTCAAATAATTAATCTTATAATATAATAACTCTAAAAAATTACAGGCTCGATGTACCATTCAAATATCAAGATATTGGATCTATCACACAATAACATATCGATCATACATCCAGGATATTTTAGGCCTGCAGAAATATCACTGACGCATTTGCACATGGGCTATAATTCGTTAATGGTAAACCAAGAATTTATTGTTGTTAAAAATGAAAGATAACAATGATATAATTTCTAGAATGCGACACGCGATGTTTTCGGTAATATGCCACACCTGCAATGGCTAGATATATCATATAATATAATTCGTGAATTGGATTTCGATGCGTTTAAAAACACAAAACAATTACAAGTGAGTAATATTATACACAAATTGCATAAGAAAATATATCAATAGTTTATTAATATTTACAGATTAATGTTATTATTATTATTTATTATAATGAACTTGTCGTATGATATTTTTTTAAGTTCGATTGAAAATTAATTATTATTTATAAAATATAATATAATAAAATTGAAAAAAATCGTAATAACTTTATAAAATTTCATTTTACATATAATATTGCAGTTAGTTTACCTGTCACACAACTATTTAACCGACATACCACAAGATATTTTTAAGCCCGTACAAGGATTACGTGTAATCGATTTATCCCATAACCACTTACGTGGTCTACCTGATAATTTATTCTATAATGGTGGCATGGAAAAGTAAATAATTAAACAAATTTAGGATTAATTTTAAAATGGAATATAATCTTTAATTATATCAACAGAATGGACGTTTCGCATAATATGCTGTTGAAGATACCATCATCATCTCTATCCAGTTTGGCAGCGCTTACCTTATGTGAATTGCATTTATCAAATAATTTCATCTCAACTATACACAGCATGGATTTATCTAATAAGTTCAGAGTAAGTTCTTTTAAATAATTTACATATTAAAGAGATAATATTCTGAATATATTATATTATTTTTAGTCCCTACGCTATTTGGATATATCCTACAACTATTTGTTACGTATTGATGATGCCGTTTTTGCTACCATGCCCAAATTAGCAGTGCTCGATCTTTCACATAATCGAGATCTTAAAGTAATGGATAAATCTTTTATGGGCTTAGAAAATTCTTTGATAAAATTAGGTTTGGAAAATGTTTCATTAAGTACAGTACCTGAAATACGTTTGAAATATTTGCGTGAATTCCGGTTGGGATATAATGAACTTCCTTCGATACCACAAGAACTTGCACATAATATGAGTAATTTACGTATGTTGGATCTATCGAATAACGATTTAACAAATGTGCCACTTATGACGCAATCTTTACCACATTTAAGGTAGGATAATATAAAAAACTTGATGGTTTTTCATATTTAAAGTTATATAATAATATATTTGAGAATCCAAATTAAATTAGTTAATTAAATTAAGTTCCTATGAGAAAAATATAGTAGAAAGTATGTTCTAAAGATGTTATTAGAGTACGCAAGATTTACTTTAGCACAGATTCAATCTTTTATTGTATTATATATTGAACTATTTTTTCCTGTACTTTTCTGAGTGATACTGTTCATCATATTTTCATTTTTAAATTCACAGTCATACATACATATGATTCTAATATATATATGATGATATAATTAGAAGAAACGATATAATTACGAGAAAGGTTCTCATTGTAGAAGTTTTATAATTGTCTTATTTTTTTTAATAAACTATTGACACCTAGCACTCCTAACATGATTGTAATGAGTGACTTATTCGCATTCGATATTTTACGTGAAATAACAGATTTATAAATAGTAAACTAGGGACAGATACTTTAAATGCAAAGCATAGATCTTTTGTACCAAAAACCACTGAGATTTAGACAAAGACTAATATAATGTAATGTGAATATCAGGTTAATAAAGTGTTGCGACTGGTAAAAATATTGTATCACCCTCTGGTAGTATAATTTTTTTCTTTGAAATCTTATCCAGTTTCAGAGATAAATTAAAATCGACGGGACTTTGCATTGCTAATTTTTTTCCTGGTATAAGATACGACCCTAGGTGGTTTTATCTTTTATGTATGATTCTATCACATTTCCCTTGGATGTGCTCTGGAGACATGTCTGTTGAGTCTATATAGTAATGAGGCCATAGCTCGGTCATTACTCTTAATCTATTCTTGGTTAAGCTTAAGATATATCTAATAATAATTTAGAATGCTTTAAACCTAGAAGATCTGTCTTCTTCCACTTTCTCCTTCTTTTGTTTTTTGTACATTAGAACTCCATACCTTACTCTTTTACATATACTGCAATATCAGTACCATAGATGCTCCTTTTCTGACGTTTTATCAGCTTGTTCATTTCTCTAAAACCCTTCATGTGTAGGAACAGTCATGTGACTATCTTTATTGCCACTGGTTAATATAGCAGTGGGTCTAGATTAAGTTGGACTCAGCTCCGTACAAGCTAATCATTCGAAAGACAGAAATATAGCAAATTTTGAATAATAATTTTGATAAATATACACGTCTGATAAAATTAACTATTCATTTTGAATTTATAATTGATGAACAACACAGAAAATTGATGCTCTCCGGTAATCCCATAACATCACTTAACAATAATAGTTTTGATGGTGTAAATGAAGATTTAGAAATGTTGGATATATCTAATTTCCGTCTACATTACTTTGAATATGGATGTCTTGATTCGTTGCCACATTTACGTTCACTTAAATTAACCGCATATTCACACTTGGAGCACTTTAATATACCACAACTATTGCGTCATCATTACAACATAAGACAATTATGGATCGAAGCACCACAACCATTCACACGAATTATCAAGAAAGGCTCTGGAAACACACAAGAAATGCAAAGCGTACAAATGGGCATGCCTACCGATTTAACCAGAGAAATGGAAGGTCACTTGCCATCAAAGTTAACTAATATCACATTTAGTGGACCACAATTCAGTAGTCTCAATGAACGTATATTGAAGGTATAAGTATTAATGAACGTTTTTAAATTAGCCGTGAAATAATACTAATGTTATATCTGAAATACAGGGCATGCGTTCACCATATTTATATATGCAATTATTTAATACATCCTTGCAAGCTTTGCCTAATAATTTCTTCAAGAATTTGGGACGTGTGCGTAATATTTCATTGGACATCCGTTATAATAATCGTATGCTGAAGAAAATACCAAATCCCAATACTGGACGTGTACCATATTTACCAAATAGTGTTTTCCTAACAGATCTGAAAATGTCAAATACCGATTTAAATTGTGATTGTGACTTAGGGTGGGTGAATCTGGTTCGATTTAGTTTTACAAATTTCGTCTATTTATAACCTTAATTTTAGTTGGGTCGAATTCTGGCAGCGTAAACGTCGTCAATATATATGCTCATCTCAAACTTGGACCGATACTGTATTTAGAACATTTATGAATTCACCATGCCAGGTTTATGGGCGTCATAATTGTGATGATCATGATGATGACTTACGTGAAACGCGTTGTGATAATAAAGGTGGTTTACAATTATTGGAGGTAGGGTGTTATAAATGTTCAACTTTATTTTGAATATAATACTGAATTATTCTAAATGAATATGTTATCATTCGTTTTAGGCTCTGAAAGCTGATTTAGAATGCGGATGGGATAACGCAAGCTGCAAGGACTCCGTTCTTGTCTTAATAGCTGCTTGTATTATATTAATATTTTGGATGTGACTGTTACGGTTTGCCTACAAAACATCTGCCAAATTCTATGATATTTTGGAGAAGGTCTATGGCGAGACTGTTGTTTGAGTAAAGCGAAACAAAGTAGTTTGCAGATTTTCATATAATAAGCGTTTATTACAAATAACAACATTAATTTTTAAGAAAATTTTCAATTTAATATGAAGTAAATAAAACGATCTTTGCTTAAAATTATTTATTTATTTATATTTATACATTTCTTTATGTATATTAATTTATTAAGTTTAGTTTTTTTTAGTTATTATTTTTTATAAATTATTTGTTGTATTATATTAAATTTTTATTTAAATTATTAATTGTTTTTTAACTAATTATAGAAATGATCTTTTATGCACTTAAATAATTGGCTTTATATACTTATTATGTATAAATTATACTGCACTATATTAAATTATTTACAAATTGCACTGAAACCACTTCTTATTGCTTATTATACATACAAATCCTATATGCTATATGTTCTACTATAAATCTACTATAAATATTATTTAAATTATCTATATATAAGTTTTTTTATTCCTTATCTATCTGTAAATAAATTTAATTTGTTACTGCTTTTTCTATTCCATAAATATTATATCTTTAATTGTTAAATTATTTTGCACTACATATTATTAAGAAGTTATAATAAGTACATTCTTTTAGTATGATATAAATATATTTATCTATATTGTCTAATTTATCTGCTTGCTAATAAACTCTGTGTAGTTTATATATAATTAAAATTTTTCTTAAGAAAATTATGCTTTGCGATTATGCTTATAAGATCGCTGAGACTATTTGGTAGCGATCTCAAAATTTGTCTTATAAATATTGTTTAAATACCACTTTTTTATATGTTAGAAGGTTTATACATAAACCTATTTAATTAAAGCTTTGTTAATAATATAACAAACAATACTTTTGTCTGTGGTAGCTAAATGGAGGTCTTCTCTAAGTGTATCTGTTTTAATACATATTCATTAGTTACGTATATATAACTGATTGACCGAGAAGGGCTGTAAATAATTCCTATAGAGTTCTTATCTATGCTAAATCACTTGCCTAAAATAATGTAATGAAGAACATTGCGATGACAAATTCTTTACACCAATTATAAAAAAACTCATAGGTTCGTTTAAAATATCTACTTTAAATTAACAAAATTTAATTTAAAATTAATTTAATTAATATTATAATATACTAATACAAGAGTGATTTAAACATTTATGTTAATGATTTTAAATGAATTTGTTCGACAGACCAAGGAAATTTTAAAGAAACAATACCCGTATTTTATTTTAATTGCTAAGTTCCAATTCCATAGTTAGATGTAGTGCAAAATATGTTTAAAATATAAAAAGATATTACATATCAAATATTATTTTCTTAATTAATTATTCTAATACTATCAACTATTTCCTAATACTATATGCATTCTAACTATATATCTTAAATTTTATTATTATTATGGAAGTTACTAGGAATTAGTATATTACACTATATCTTAATAATAAATTATAAATTTTACCATTCTGTATCTAATAACTACGATTATTAAGTTTTATTACTTATTACCTATGTACTACCTGTCTGCTATTATTAAATTTTAACTAATTTCTAGCTTTAACTATTAAATTAAAATAATTTAGCTGCTAACTTTCTATAGTTAGTTACTGCTTTCTACAAACTAATTATTGACTACTATTAATTTATATTAACTACAACCTAAATACTATCTATCTCTTACTATTAAATTATATTCAACTATTAATATATTTCTACTATTAATTTAAATTAATTAAGTTATTATCCTATCTCTTGTTATTCTTTATATATTACTCATAGTATCTTATCCTATACTCTATTAATTTATCTAAACTGATTGCTTACCATTTACTTACTAACTGCTATTAAGTTGAATAAATGGTCACCTATATACTATTTTACTTTTATAATTAAATTTAATTCAACTATTTATTAACTTCTACTATTAAAGAAAAATATTTATTATTGATATTCTAACTATATTAATATCTATCTATCTATAAATTATAACCAATAATCACATCTTTAATCAACTACTATGTACTAGTAACTAAAATAAAATACCTACTATATACCCCATCCAAATACTGTATACTATTGCTACCTATTATACTATACACTACCTATTACTATAATTTAAAATTGTAATAATTTTATTGTTTATATTCAAAATTGATAATATATTAAACTTATTAATATAGACAATTTACTTATTTATCCCTTATCGATATAAACTGTACTGAAATAAATTTTAATAATTTTTTTTATAATTTTTTTATGCACTATATGCTATTATTCTATAATCAAACACAATTTTTATACTTCTAAAATATTTGTCTATAATATGTAGATTTTTTATTTTAATGCTTTTTATTTTCAATATTTTGTTTTTTAATTTAAATTATATTTTTGTTTAATTATTTTAATAATAATAATTAATTTTATTAATTTATATTTATTAATTAAAATATATTAGTAATATTTGATTTTATTTTATAAATATTTTTTTTTAGTCATTTCAGTTAAAGTATTTATTTATATTAATTTTCCTATTAAGTTGTTAAAAATATTTTTTATTTATATTTTATTTTTATTTAAAATGTTTTGATAGCAGAGACTAATGAAATCACGAGTATTGTGACGTATTGCAAACTAAACGATTTTTATAATACTTTTTTAATTCATAACATTAATGTTTTAAATATTAACTATTTCGAATAATTATTGTGCTATAAAATTTTAAAATTAATTTATATTTTAAAAATTAATTTAAAAAGAATTTCAATTAAACGTTTCACGCAATCAATGTGTATGCTTCTACTAGGCGAGCTAATAAATATCTTTATTTGTCAGAAGTACTCGTAAAAAAAAATAAAAAAAAAAATTAAAAAAAAATAAAAATAATAAAAATAAAAAAAAAAACGTAAACATTAAATTGGTTTTAATCTTTTTATAGATTTTTTATATGAATTTTTTATTTTCTATTTTTTATTCCATGCGATTTTGTTAAACCCATTTATTTTCTTTTTAATTTAAGTTTATCATAACATATATTCGTTTAATATTAAATAAAAATACTTTTCATCTTATTAAAAATTTTTTAATTCTTATTGAAAATATTAACTGATATAAGAACTTAAAATTTAATTTACAATTAATACAATTAACAATTTAAAGCATTTAAAAAAATAACAACAAAATATTTTGGCAGTATGTGGGTTTAAAATAAAAATTATTAAAATAAATATTTTAATAAAATTTTAAATTTTAAATGGACCACTGATAACTTCCTCGGCTTCTCGTTTGTGTACTTCTCCAACACCGGTGGCAGAAGTGGGAGCTTCATTCCGACCACAGTAAACAAGCTGTAGAGTTTGTTTTTTAAAGCAAATAATATACGTTAAATAAATATTAAAATTTATTTATGATATATTTTTTAAAATAATTATAGTTTTTTATTTACCTGTTTTCCAATTAAGTATTCAAAACGTGGTCGTACGAATGACCAAGCTCCCATATTTCTATGTTCCTCCTGACTCCAAATAAAAGCTGTATTGAAAAATGGTATACGAATTTTTATTTGTATTATCCATAAAAATTTTGTTCATACATATATATATATATATATATATGCATATATGTTAAATTCTAATCGTATATATGATTTTTAAAACTTGCAGCGTTGAACTTTTTAACTAAATCTTTAAAGACGTTTTCAATGTTAAAGTTAATTACATTTATTTTTTAAAAATTATTTTCTTTTTTATTTTAAGAACTTATTTCCAATAATCGAAAATATAATAAGTCAACGTAATGCTATTATATTAATAATTTCTTCTTTACTTACTCTTGGCGTTTTTATATTTTCCTAACTCTTCCTGCAGCTCGTGTATTGGGAACGGACTAAGTGACTCTAAACGCACAATTGCAGTATCCGTAATGCTTTTCGCTTTCCGTTCATCGTTCAAATTGTAGAAGTGTTTACCGCTGCAGAGTATAACTTTACGCACCCCCTCGACATTAGTAACTGCGGTGTCACCTGTCAGAAACAAAAGGAGCTTGTAAATTGCATTTCTTTATAACTGTAACAGTTACCCAAAACATTGTGGAAGTGTGTGCCTTCTTGGAAATCAGAGTGCGTGGAAGTGGCAGCCGATAAACGCAGGAGTATTTTCGGTGCAACCACTACAAGCGGTTTGCGGAAGTTGCGCAGAACTTGTCGGCGCAGCAAATGGAAATACTGTGCTGGTGTGGTGGGATTTACAATTTGTACATTCACATTATCGCTATCGGGTGCGGTTTCCTTTGAATCGCATAGCTGCAGAAAACGTTCAACGCGACATGAGCTATGCTCAGATGCAGTTCCATCGTAACCGTGTGGTAGCAGTATAACAAGTCCATTGCTGTCCATCCATTTAGCTTTAAAATTTAAATACAAAATTACTAACTTTGTTTCTCGCTATTCACACCTATGTGTGAATTGGAATTTTGTACTTACTTTCACCGGATATAATGAAATTATCAATTATGATTTGTGCACCATTTGCAAAATCACCGAATTGTGCTTCCCATATAATCAAGTTGTTTGGATTGTCAATGGCCATGCCATACTCGTATGCTAGGACAGCTTCTTCAGATAAAATACTGTGTGCCACTTCTAATTTTCCACCTACACCACCCTGCATTTCATTGAGTGGTATATACATTTCATTATTTTGCTGATCCACTAACATGACATGACGATGAGAAAATGTGCCACGACCTACATCTTCACCACTGATACGCACATTATGCCCTTGGTACATCAGACTACCGATTGCCAATGCTTCGGCGGTAGCCCAATCGATTTTCTCGCCGGCATTCAACTTTTTTCGACGTCCCTCAATATGTGTTTTAAACAGATGCGGATGTACATGCTGCAATAAGAGACATCATACATATTTACAGTTTCTATTAACAGGACACATGAGTAGCAAAACTAAAGCAACCAAACAAACAGTATCAACTCTCAACTATAAACCTTAGTAATAACAGCTTACAATATGTCCACAACATACATACCCGCCAATACAAAGAACGTATCATAACATTATTATATTGTTATTCACTTACAAATCCCTCTGGGTGTGCAACGCTTTGATGTCCAATGTAATTTAGCAGCGAATAATTGAGACCAGTGTCCCAATACGTGATAGCATCAGGCGCAGTTGTGATGCCGGACCATTGCCTTTCGAAGTATGTTGGCTCTGGCTGGTATGTGGGTGCAAGCGCCAATTCTTCATTAAGATAATCGAGAAATTTAGCGCGCATTCCAGTTGATTCCTCTTCAGACAAAATATTTTGCTGTGCAAGTTGCTCCGCATACAAATCTGGCACAGACCTGAAAAAGTAATATAAAAAATTTCATAATTTTAAATAAAAATAAACAATTAAAAAAGCAAAGAATTAAACAAAATAATACACAAAAAAAAAATAAAAAAAAAAATAAAAAATCATTCAAAAGTACCCACTTGCGATTATTTATAATCTCATAGATGGAGGGATTTGTAAATGTTGGATCATCTAATTCATTGTGTCCCCAACGCCTGTAGCAGTTCATATCAATAAAAATATCTTTACGAAAGTAACGCTGATATCGGAATGCTAATTTAGTAACTAAAGCTACCATTTCGGGATCATCGCCGTTTACATGAAAAACTGGTGCTTGTATGCTCTTGGCTAAGTCCGAAGAATAATCTGTTGAACGTCCACGTTCGCCGGGTGTAGTAAATCCAACTTGATTATTGACAATCAAATGTATTGTGCCACCAATTTCAAAGTGTGGTACATATGCCATATTCAGACATTCCTGATTGATACCTTGACCAGCAAAGGCAGCATCTCCATGTAATATTATATTAAGAATCTTGTTGGCAAATTCTTTATTGGGTTCGTTACTGAAAGCACCATCGCCAGAAGTTTGTTGCTTAGAACGCGTTTTACCCATGGCTACGGGATTTGCAGCCTTAAAATTTTATAAGAATATATTTTAAATTTATTAAAATATTTATATGAATATATGTTATATATATGTATATATTTTTTTTGTATTTTTAAAGACCATTGATTATAGTTATTATCTACAAATCTTTAATATTAATTTTGTTTTCTTGATTAAATACATGTGCATAAAATTCGTTTAACAATATTTATAAATAAATATAATTCTCAGTTACTTTAATATTACTATTATATATTAAAATATACAGCATAAGTCAATATTATTATAAGTTTAATACAACATTACTGCCACATGGATGTTTGCATACCAGTCATAAATTAAAATAGTCTAATTTCTGTATTAGTAACTTCGTATATATATTTTGATAATGATACTATGTGTAATTATGTAGATTAAATAAAGTTCTAGATATTTTATTTAAGATAAAAGAAATATTTGTTTTTTTTTTGTAAATTTGTTTCCTTATTTAAACACACCAGCATACAATTTATTTATAAAAATGTATTAATAAATATAATTCTTAGTTACTTTAATATTACTTTCCTATATTAAAATCAACAGCGTAAATCATGTATTATTGTAAGTTTAATATAAAATAATGACCACGTAGATATTCTCAGTGCATCCTGATTATTGATGTAATAAATTAGTTTATGTAGTATATTGATAATAATATCTGCAATTACGTACATTAAATATAGTTCTAGATATTTTACTTAAGATAAAAGATATACTTTTTGTTTTGTGAATTTGTTTATCAATATTTATCAATAAATATAATTCTCAGTTACTTTAATATTATTTTGAATACTATAAATAAACAGCATAAGTTTTAACTGTAAAAATAGTTTGGAAAATTGGATACAACGCAGCAGCATAACTGTCTGAACACGTCTGAACGCTTCAGCATAGATTCTGTGTCAGTTAGTCGCTCACACAGCTGGATGTATATTAGAGTGGATAAGATAGTGCTTCAGAAAAAGTGATTAGAACTGGTATCTCGAAAATGTGTTAATTCGGTAAAGTGGTAATGTGTTATATATGTTTGCTATTGTCTTATGTGCTATGTTGAGCATTTTCCGAGTTACTGCATCTGGACACTTTTACTCTATGATGGCTGGGGGTTTCTTCAGAGTCCCGCCCATCTCACTGACTAATTTGCGTATTCCTTATAATCTTCGTTATTATTCAATGATTGATCTAAGATATGTGTACCGCCGTGTGTGGTTAGTGATTACTCTGAGATTAGACAGTGCTAAGTAGGGCAGCCTGTCGGTTTTCGCAGAGCTTCAGTGCGAAGTTATATTGTCCACTTACAATGTTACCCAGTTAAGAAATTACCGCGGTATCAGGTTTGATAATTTATTCGGTATTTGGTGATATTTTGGCCATTGCACAATAACCTTTATTGTGCAATGTTTCATAAAATTCGAATTTTATTTTAAAATTTGATATGTTTAAAAACATAATTAATTATTAATAGATTAAAAAATTAAGTAAAATAACGAGTTTTACTTCAATGTTCAATTTCAATTTGCAACTTTTTTGCAGTTTCTAATTTTTAACATATATGTAACATTATAACTTTAACGAGAAAGTCAGATACGTAGTACCCTTTCTGTATCTAAGCTGATAGTAGAATATATTTTATAGATATATTGTTATACTTAATATAATAAATTTTTTTCGACATTTCTATTCGTATTTATGTTTAATATTTGTTAATGAGTAACTTAAACCAGAAGTATACATTACTTACTTCCAAATGTGAAGGATTTCGTATTAAGCTCAAACGTATATTTTTACCGTCCACATTTAAATCTTCTGATGTATCTGCATAGAAATAGTTGGGTAGAAAGTTTATAACAGTAACAAAAACAAAAACAAAAACAAATACAAGTAGAGAAAACATATAAAATAACCGAAAATAATTTATTTAAATAGTTAAGCCATGTAGTATATAACGAAAGTAACGTGAAACTTACGGAAATGACTTATAACATCCGACATGGCTGATACGCCATCAGCAAATTCAGATTTTCCGGTTAGTTTACGAAAAACTTTGGCTGGTCGCATATTCAGAAGGGCCGTTTGAAGTGGTGTGCGTCCACGATGTGGCATTGCAACCACAATATGCTCGATTTCCTCTATAAAATTAAATTAAGTCGTTAGCTGACAAATGGCAGACAACATAGCTGTATCATATAAACTTAAGTTAACTTGGATTTCAGTTAAATATTATTCTGCTGTGAGCTATGCTCGCAAGTTTATTGCAAACAAAGTTAAAGTTGCAAACTAATCGAATGAAATATATTTGCTCATCTAAAGTAAAATAAAATTGAGTTCACTTTTTATAAGTGCCTTGCATTTGGTTCATTTATCTTATTTGAGTTTCTTTGCCGATAAAGTTTGTTAGACTATTTTCATTCTTTTTTTTTTTACTATTTTGTGAAAAATTACTTATACCTACATACCTTTTGTGCTATTTTGCAGCAATTGCCAGAAAAATGCTAACAAACTTTCAGCACCCTCGCCACCGTAACGTTTGACAGTTGGAAATTTCATGGCCATAAAGTTGTCCCAGGCTTGTGACTTAATTAGTAATTCGGCAATTTGTTTGCGGGATTCATTGCTCATTGTCTGCCCGGCGAGCTGCTCAAAATGCAACGTTAACCATTCGCGTTCCTCGAGGCTCTACAGAACGGAAATTTTACAGATTTAGTTTAAAATGGTTTTATTTTCATTTTATTTAAAATGAAAAATTATTTAATAAATGTGAACACACACATCTTTAACGAAATATCTAACTGTGCAGATACTATATGTACGTTACAATGTTTGCTTTACCAACCTCAATATATGAAAATTCCGCACTAACTGCTGAGCCGCAATAAATCTGTTTCAACGTTGCCTCCAGTTCTGCTATCGTAGATTTTCTCTCTAATGTGGGTGCATTAAGTAATCCCTGCGGTTTGACTGTTTCTCTGGATTTAAGTCCATAGAATTCTGGTCTCAATTCAGCGATACTGTGCAATGCAAACAATAGTTTCATATTTTCAACATTTATCTGTATGATGTTTCTCATCTCTTGTTGAAGAATAACTTTTTGTTAATAACGCATTTGCTTACCTTTCACTGTTTGGTTGGATACTGATGGGATTTACAGTTGC